CAGTTTTTTTTTTCCACTTGAGATGTGAAGCTACAGGATATTGATCTGTTTAGGTTTCAGGATAACTGGCGGATATACATAATGCATTTTATCAGATTTCCCCTGGTGTCGGTTGCTTTGTGTCCATATGTCAGTTTTACATAAAAATCAGACTGGCTGTCCAGATTCTAGGACAAAGTGAGGGGAAAGAGTTGTAAATCTAGAAGCTTGCCTCTGCTTTCTGACCTCTGCCGCATGTTCTGATACAAAATGTTCTGTATTATTTGCACCAGTGGGAGAGAATTGCATGATATGAATAAATAAACTTATGAAGTGAATTAATTGTAAATTATATATTCATCCTAATCATATGCTTTTCATAAGTAGTTGCCATTGATGGTATTATCCTATAAACTTTTTTTTTTGCCGTTTGACAAGTGGAACGCATTACGGAAAAAATTGGGTGTGGCAAAAATTGTTTAGAGCCCTGGCTTAACATACACTTCTGTGGTGGAGTGCCCTTCTACTCCTTATGCTCAGAGGCAGGTGTGGGCTGCTTTAACTAGTCTCCCTCAATCCACTGTGCTCCTGCACATACCCAGGGGATACTTAGGGAGAGAGATGATGAGCTTTCAGTGTTAGTCCTAGCATGTGGACCAACTGGCAGAAGCCCATTAACATGCAGCTTCTATGGAAGACCCAACCACTGTGGACAATGCTTCTTCAATTGCTATCAGAGCACTGCACATCAAGTGACATGGCCTTGTGTCTCCAGTTGCTCACCTGTGATACCAGCCCTGAGATATCTCCTGCAGTCTGCCTATTTTGCTAGACCTAGCTTGGATTTCACCTTTCAGGCACACTGTCTGAGGATTTTAGGATGTTTAATCCTACTATGCACATATATATAGTAAACTTAAAGTTACTGTTATTTTCTGTCTGCTCATTCACAGATTAGAGAGCCCGTTACACCATTAGAAAAGGAACTTGAGAATTCGCATAGTAAAAAAGGAGAGATGTTAAGCAACTGAAGGAAGTTGTGCAGAGCAATTATCGCATAGGAACAGATATGAACAATGAAAGATACAAGAAACTGTAGTGTAGTGGAATGCCTATTTATTCCCCATGCTCAGATGCAGCACAGGCCTCTGTACTGTTTTTCTCCAAAATTAAGTTCCTGAACATGCAATGGGAAGTTAAGCTTCTCTGCTTCCTTCCTTTAGCAGCTCAAAGGGTCAATACCTGATGACAGAGGCGGACTGACAACTCATGGGTCCCCCGGGCAATAGGGGATCATGGGGCCCCTGTGTTCTTGCTCACACTCAAAGCACACCCAGAAAAGCCTATAAAAGGTACTGGGGCATTTCATGGGGCCCCCCCTACTGACCCCGGGCCCTCAGGCAGTGCCCAAGTTCTCGAATGGTCAGTCCTCCCCTGCCAGATGCAGCTGGGCAAGTGATCTGCAACCAGGTGAGGGGTCCTCTACTGTCAGAATTGGTGTGCAGGCAGTCGGGCAGGAGCCTAATAGCACACAGCTTTCGCTGTTTACCTTTTATTACCAGAGCTACCCTGAATTTACTTGGAGGGATGCTATTCTTAAATGCAACTAACTTTATGTGTTATGAACTGTTTTGCTGAAAGTGATTCTCAGCTAAACTCTGTGTTGTTATTAAAACATGTAGAGACTATTGTATTCAGCCATGTTACCCTGATCGAGCCACAGAGCCATTACTGTGAAGAGTCCATGTCTATGCAGCTTTCATAATCTGTTTTATTAATATTCTGCAGTGTATGCACACTCTTTGTCATTGTGAATCTGTTTTGCATCAGTGATTCTAACATTGCACCTGTTTAGCAAACTGCAAGCTACAGTTATTCTTTATCATTTGGTCAGTTACGCATCCTGCTACAGTACTGTTAGCATGCATACATAGAAAATAAGAACATGTATAGAAATTACACCCTGTACACAGAAGACATGAAGCAGTTCTGTGTTAAATTCGTATACAAGGAACAACAGAGAATTATACCCAAATTATAGAACCAAAAAATATTAGTGTGGAGTATCTATAAGTAAATGTTTTCAAGCTTGTAGAAACAGTAACCCCCCCCCCCCAAAAAAAAAAAAAAAAACATTTACCCTATTATTACACTAATTAACTTATCATGACTGTTTTGAAAACTAAGCTTCATTTTGCAAATACAAAGGGGAGAGGAATAGATCCCTGATAAATGAGAGAAATCAAGGGAGATTTGTACATCATGACATAGTGACAGAATGAGAAGGGTTAAGTTGTTAAATTCAGTAAAACTTAATTTTAAAAAAAATACCCATCCCATCCACATCTTTCAACCAGCTATGGAGGCCCATCACAGTAATGTGGCAATGGGAAGGGGCTGGGGCGGGGTGGGGGGCAAGAGGTGTTGGCCAGTTCTCAATAGAGCATCTAATAGAAAGTTATAAACAATTGTAATGACGCAAGAGACGAAAAGGTTCAGAGTCCATATGCAGAGAGTCTATAGTCCATACAGGATAAAATAGTCTGAAAATAGCTCTGATTTAGCGAAGGAATAGCAATAGAAAGCCTCATCCCAAGTGCAGAGGGTAAAAATATTTAATATAGCAATGGTAATAAAAACTTACAAGATTGTGGGAAAGAACACAATCATAAATCATAAAAGCCTCTGTGTCTCCATTCCGTGGATTCCACCTAGACCAATGTAACAGCTGGCAGCGGTGTGCAACGAGCAGAGGACGCGCTATGGGCTCGGTGCTAACGGCTCCTTCTAATGGCCTCTTAGAAGGAGCCTCTAGCTCAGAACATGTAGCCTGTTCATTTGCTTGCATGGTGTTCCGGTCCTGTACTGGTGTCACTTCTGCCCAGTGCTTGTGTGTGCTTCCAGCTGGTTCTGAGCCACTTCCAGCATCCTGAAAAGTGTTCTCTGCTTGTTACATTGGTCCAGGCGGAATCCACAGGACAGGGACACAGAGGTGTTTTTGATTACAAACGGGTTCTTTCCCACAGTCTTGTAAGTTTTTATTACTGTAGTGATATTAAATATTTTTACCCTCTGCACTTAGATGGCGCTTCCTTTATACAGATGGGTATTTTTTAACACTGCCCATCACTGCTTTCCTAAAAATTGCAGAAAAAAACGCATAGTTTCCTTGTGCTTTGCTACTTCTTGAATTTAGTTAAGTGTATGTAAACCATAACAATACATTTCTCTTATTTTCTCTATTTTGGTCCTTTAAATAGCATTAAAAGTGTTTTGATGGTTTAACTGGTTGATAAATGCAAAAACATTGCTGTTGATCTTATCAGAAACCCAGTGCTGTCTTGTGTACTCTGCAGAGACATAGTGCTGTCTTAATCAGCTTTTCCCAGTACCCCTCTATAATCTACAGAACACCCCCATATGCTATGAGGATAAAGGTGTTTTGTAGTCCTAGCACACTTGCTTTGTGTTATTTACAAGATCACCAAGTACAAATATAGGCAAAATACAAAATATTAAATGTTTCTTCCAGGTTTAGATACACTTTAATGCAGAGTTTAGATTTTGGCTATGTGGTTAAAAATAGGCTAAGATTACAATTATTACCAATTGATGTTGTGTACCCAACACAGCTCTGTAACAAACTAAAAGAAAATACAGTATGTAATATGTATTATGACTAATCGCATGTAAACATGAGTGCTGATGGCTACGAGCGTATAGCTGTGCACAGCATATTCTGTAATGCATTTCAATGGGTATAATTACAATGTCGCTCTCAGTCATGACAACAACAGGCAGGTTTTATTCTGTATGGCTCTATGCCCTAATGTACAGCTGCATGCAAAAGCCTGAAATCTAGTTTAGCTGTAGCCTGAGAAAATGTAATATACTTTAGTTTATAATAGATTTTCTGTTTACTAGTATAATGGCTCTCTGTCCATTAACTCAAGTTTGATTATTGACAGAATAAAATAAAGCTTAAAGCAGAGCTCCAACCAAAAGGGAAAGTTCTACTTTAAGTACTGGTCCCCTGCACCCCATGAGGAATTGGCACCTTTGGGGAGCGGGTATCCCATTGTGACGGGTACCTGCGCCCACTTCTGCTGTGATTGCCTAGGCGATCGGAAGTAGAAGTTTTCCTCCCCCCTCCCTCCCCATAGTCTTCTGGGACACATGACAGGTCTCAGAAGACCAAGGGACCATTCACAAGGTGAAACCACAAGCTGTCCCATCTGAGTGCCCACACTTAAGATGCCAGGGGGCAAGGATGGCTGGTGGAACCAAACTTTGGTTAGTACACCAATGGATCGTGGAACAGGTGAGTTGCTGTTTTTTTTTAAAGTCAGCATCTACAGTTTTTGTAGCTGCTGACTTTTATTTTTTTGACTGGAGCTCCACTTTACCTTGGGTTTGAACAACTAATCAGATTTTTTTGTAAAGAATGTATGACTTGGTTAGTTGACATGGGCAGTTGCGCCACTTGCTCTCTTTACTCTAGATGTAACTTTTCTTCTGACCATGTCTCCTGACTTTGTGTAGGACTGTGAACAAGCTTGCACCAAGGTGTTGCTGAGGAGCCTAGGGGCTAGTCAACTGCACCATCACACCATAACAGTATTAGAAGTCATGTTTGCATGGTTGCTTTTCCTTTTATCTTTGACCTTTCTTTACAGTCACAAGAAACATAAAAGCAAAATGTGAACAAAATATCAAAACATTTTTGCAACGTGTCATTATTTTATGTGGCTTGCTTATTTTACTAGTCAGTAGTCTTTAATATACATTTAGCTACAGCCATCAAAGACCGGTCCCCTCCATTAATCTGCCTTGGCTGTTCCTTGAATTTCATAATTGCGTCTAGTATTCTTCAAAACTACTTATATGTTTTATTTAAGTGCATTTTTTCAGTTTTGGCTCAACTGTGTTAATTTCTTTTACAGGTAGCCTCCCTTGGAGTTACCACATTCACACTGTGTGCCCTCTGCATTGACCGTTTCCGTGCTGCCACAAATGTCCAAATGTATTATGAAATGATTGAGAACTGCACATCAACAACTGCCAAGCTCGCTGTTATATGGGTGGGTGCACTCCTCCTAGCACTGCCTGAGGTTGTTCTACGCCAGCTGACCAAGGATGAGTCTGCAATCAGTGCCAACACTCTCAGTGAGCGCTGTGTTGTTAAAATTTCTACTGATCTTCCCGATACCATTTATGTTTTAGCTCTTACATATGATGGAGCAAGACTTTGGTGGTACTTTGGCTGTTATTTCTGCTTGCCTACTCTCTTCACAATTACATGCTCATTGGTAACAGCAAGGAAAATCAAGAGAGCTGAGAAAGCTTGTACAAGAGGAAATAAGCGTCAAATCCAACTTGAAGGTCAAATGAACTGTACTGTAGTAGCGTTAACAATTTTGTATGGTTTTTGTATAATCCCTGAAAATATATGTAACATTGTAACCGCTTATATGTCCACTGGGGTCTCCAGGCAGACTTTGGATCTCCTTCATCTGATTAGTCAATTCCTTTTGTTCTTTAAATCATGTGTTACCCCAGTCCTTCTGTTTTGCCTTTGCAAGCCTTTCAGTAGGGCTTTCATGGAATGCTGTTGTTGCTGTTGTGATGAATGCATTCAGAAGTCCTCAACTGCAACAAGCGATGATAATGACAATGAATATACTACAGAGCTGGAACTTTCCCCTTTCAGCACTATACGTCGTGAAATGTCCACGTTTGCTTCTGTTGGGACTCACTGTTGAACTTAAATGTTAATATTGACTGTATTTGTAAATATTACGTGATACGCATTTTAAATGTTTTTTTTTAGTTCACAATTTTTTAAAAGAAGCATTTGACTTGTGCAAGGTCAGTTTTGCTATCTATATTTATTATGTTTTAGGTCTCCTAACAGGGTACATTTCCAAAAAAAAAAAAAAACTATTAACGTGTTTTTGCACCTTAAAGCGTAAGGTTCACCTATATACAATTTTTGCATCTATATGCTGTGTCTTCTCCAGTTTCAAAGTTTTATTTACTGATAGCTTTTTCCTTCTTTTTTTTTTTTACAATACATGTGTAGCCCCTATTTTGACAGAAAAAGAGCTTCTGGGACCATGATAACCTAATTGTAGTTACCAGTTATGCATAGTATACCACAGTACAGGTCAAACAAGCCTCAGAAGAGAAACAGCATATACTGGAAGGTTTTTGTTTTTTAAACATCATTCCTATCCTCACAATAACAGATGAAAGAAAATTGGAAGTAGAACCTAAGCATGAGATATATTGCTAATTACAGCTGAAATCTAGACAGATATTGAGAAATGCCATTTAATCCTGTTAAAGATTTATTTAAAAAATTAGAGATATTCTTAAGTACGGTTAGAATTAGTACCCAAATCTTTCTTTTTTTATTAGCTGCCTGTAATTTTCGGTAGGATTTAGACTGGGTTGGCATCAATGCGAGCCAGTTGGGCACTACTGCATTGCACAATGCTGTCAATCTAACATTGAGAGCATCCTGACAGAAGATGAGAACAGAGTAAGTTGAGTGTTGACTTTATCAGTGTGTTGATGTTCATTTATTATGCAATAAACTGCAGCTGAGAAAATGTAGCTCACTAAATTAGCTGTGCTATCTGGCAGGAGTACCTGAATCACATGGCAGGCTGAACATAATAATAAATTCTTTGTTAGGTAAAACAGTAAACATGTATGCCTTTCATTTGTGTTTGTCCCAGATTTCAGCTTTGAGCACACAGCTAAATGTAGTGGATCAACATGATGAGAAACATTGTTACTTTAACTGTAAAGGTGAACTTACACTTTAATTTGGTAGTCATTAGCTTTTTGATAATCATACAACTGGGTACGTTTTTAAATATTCTATAAAACTAGGTGAATTTATTAAACTTCAAGGTGGTTTGCACTGAAATTAAATATTGTAATGTTTTGTTTATCTTAACATTTCCAAAATTAGCTGTTGAAATAAATTTTATTTTGTTTTTTAAGAAATGTTTTTAATTATTGTGATTTTTATCAGCACTCTATAATCTATCATTGATCACACACCAAACTATAAATGTTTCTATGTTCACCTGGCTACACACAGATTGATCAGATATTAGTAGTTAACCTAATCACTAACGTTTCACCAACCTATGGATCCGCAAATAGACAAGTTTTAATTATACTTTGTCTCTAAGGAATTTCTGATTACATAATTCACAAGTCAAAGTACATCATTAAGGAAGTTTTCCCACAAAACTATTTTTATCCTTACAAAGCTCCATTATGTGGTCTATGTCCAGGAATCAAAATGTTTCTCCCTCTCTTTCTGCTGCATCCTAGCTTCCAGCAGTAATGCTCTGACAGTTAGGGACAGACTAGTTGCCAGGAACCTTGCTGACAAACAACCAGACTCAAGGTCCGCAACTTTACAATCCATACCTTATATCAAAAAAGCAAGGAAAACAAGCTGACATATATGCACTGATGAGCTGCTCATTTTGTAATTGGACAGTTAAATTGTTACTAAACCCAGGCCCCTGCATTTACTATATCTGGTCTCCCACAGTACACAGAACATGGAAATGCAATTATGTTAGTAAATATAAACTGCTAAATACCTTTTCTCATCAGCAGTTAGAGCAGTTTTGTGACTTCTATCAGAACACATGTTAAAGCTTGGAGAAGGAGTTTTCATTCTTCTCTAGGAATATGCAGGACCCCTGACCCCTGTTTGGGCAGTGCTGATTGGCCCTGTGCTGATCACATGCACTATCCCAAAAAAAAAAAAACCCTCTCTAGCAATACACACCAAACTGAGCAGGGGCAGAGTGTCTCTACATGATATGTCTTATCAGGAGATAAGAGGGGGACACTGGAAGAAGGGGAAGATCAGAGAGAAGTCAGGATCAAACAGTGTTTTTATATAATGCAGAGGATTAACCCCTTAGGTTCTACAGTGAGTATAACACAGATGTTTTATAGCATATACAGACTTTTATTGTTGTGGGTTTAGTATCACTTTAAACAAAACTACTTTTTATGGTTAAGTATATGTAAACCCTCACTCTGTAAAACAACCCTTTTAGTTTAACCTCTTCCTGTCTGGCCCATGTCGATAAATGGCCGGATGGGAGCGCTGCCGATGTGGGTGGACATTTCTAAACATCCCCCCGCATCCATTGCCCGTGCGCGCTCCCTGGGAGCATGCAGCACCGCGATCGGTGCCCGCTGTGTCCGGTGTGTGAGGTCCCTATTCATGTGATCACTGATCACATGAACAGTAGTAAACAAGATGTCACTTCCTGACATCATTGCTTACTACTTGTGAAATCTGTGAATGAGCACAGAGGTCACATGGTACAAGGCTATTCCCAACAGCCTTGTACCAAGTGACAAGCTGTGACCAATCACAGCTTGCACAGTATTTATCAATGGCTGTAGGAATGCAGACAGAGAGAAGGAGAAATTATTGCTTTTACAGCCTTTATGGGTATAAAAGCAATCAGTGTAAAAAAATTTAAAAAAATCTTCATCACCTCCCACAAGTAGTCATTATGGTGACACTGTATTGCTAGGGTGACAGTATGTTAAAAAAAAAAAACAAAAACAAAAAACATAAATAATAATAAAAAAAAAATTTAAATGTAAAAAATGTTTTTTAAATTATAATTTTTGGTTATAAACTAATTTGGGGGGTTTTTTTTTTTTACTAAAAGATAGATTAATACATTTTGGCCAATATTTATGAAGAAAGATTATTTGTTTGCAAAATTTTACAAGAAAAACACTTATTTTTAAAAAAAATTTGAACTTTTTTTTTTTCATTTATACAGCAAAAAAAATAAAAATCCAATTGGTGAATAAATACCACCAAAATAAAGTTTTATCTGTCTCAAAAAAATGCAAAAAAAATTCATATGGGTACAGTGCTGCATGACCGTGCAATTGTCATTCAAAGTGTGATAGCACTGAAAGCTGAAAATAAGCCTGCACTGGAAGGGGGTGAAAGTGTCTGGACTTCAAGATGTTAAATTAGAAATGAAAGGCAAAGCATTTGTTTATAGATATAAAAAAAAACACATTATAAACCCTTTTTTTTTTTCCCTTTTACATAAGTGACCACATAGCCTATGTTCTCAGCTACATAAGAGATAGGGGAGTAGAAACAGCAGGACATCGATCGCTGTGCAGGGAGGGGGGGTGTCAGGACAAGTCTGATCACTGGAAGAATGCAGGCTGAGTTCCCAGAATAGCTAAAGAACTGTCCATGTGTATGTTCTCCTGCCGAGTGTGGTCAGTTTTAGCAGGAACACCAGGGATTTCACACAAAGGAAGCAATACAAAGAGGACAGATTACTTTTTCATACAAGTACATGGTACAGCAGGTACATATCAGGAATATGAAATGCTGGGTTTACATATTCTTTAGCCTATGGAATGCCTCTGTGAAATATTTATACTTTAAAAATGCTTCTTCCCATATACAGTAAATGTGCTTACTGTATTTTTCCCAGTAAATGCTCATATAGTTAAACTACCCTTAGCTGTGGGATTTTAGATGTTAAACTATATAGCCAAAAGTATAAGAACCTAAAGTATGTGGACACTCCTATACGTTTTTGAATTTAGGTCTTTACAAGATAGAATAATGTTATAGTTGGAGCATTTGAAGACATTTAAAAAGATGGCATGCTTCCAACCTCCTTGGCAACAGTTTGGGTAGGGCCCTTTCTGTTCCGACATAATTGCTACCCTGCACGAAGCTTGGTTTGACAGATTGGTGTGAAGAAACTTGAGTGTACTCCACAGATCCTTGATCTGATCTCTACTGAACACCTTAGAAATGAATTAGAATGCTGGTTGCACGTTAGATCTTCAGTCAACGTCAGTACCTAATGTTATAGTTGCAAAGGGGGGTGGAGGTGGAGGCAACTCCATATCAATGCCTATGATATTAAAATGAATTCCTAAAAAGTTCATACATGATATAATGTATTTTTTTTAAGCCATATTAAGTATTTTCATATGTGATATCCAGTATAACTACAGCAATTGGCAGCTTTTTCTAACTTGGTAGATCTAAGCAACATGTTCCAAGGCTTCCAAAACATTATAAAAAAAAAGTTCTACAGGCCTGTGACATCAGGAACTGGAATCAATGTGGGTCAGGATAAGCAATGCTGAGTAATGAAGAGAGAAAGCAATGTGTGGAAGAAAGGTCAATGGGCAGTGCTCTAGGGAAAATATGAAAGCCGATTGCACCACTGACACCATAGTGCAGGTAGGAAAAAGGTGACATTCTAAGACAAGTGGAGTAGGTCAATCAAGGTATGTTAACAAGAATTTGTGTGTTGGCAAAAGTGATGTTTAACATGGGCTACCCTCTTTATTCAGTGTTGTCATCACATTAAACATCACAGACCAGTGATAGTAAATAAGATCCTATTTAAAATCTAGGTTGGCAATCTTCTTTTCTTTACACTGCTGCCTGGGGGAAATATCTGTTCAAGTAATTGTTTTATTAGAGAAGGAGGAGGTGTTTGGGGACAAAACATTTACCTAGGATTTTGGAATAGGTAAGTCTTATATACTCTTTACTATGATTGATACCAACGTAAATACCTTAGATCCAGTTAATATGTTCAAAATACAAAAAAATGAGATCCCCTATTCTAAATACTAGTAATAAAATGTAATCAGCGGTTTCTGACCTTAGCTATCCCTCCACACTATCCACTATACCTGCTGT